TACCTTTGCTTTAGCAAGCCTTTCAGTGCCATTTCAACACCAACACTGGCTGGACAAGCCAGAGTCAAAAGGTTGTGACACACCGGACGAAGTTCAGCTAGCAGATAATTACTATTGACACCCCTCCAGGGTCAGCATCATTTAAAGTTTCTAACAGCCTGGATGCACTCTTGGAAAGGTCACAATGAGACCAGATGGGGCGAGCAAAGGCTGCTGAGGGACTTGGATAAGTCAGAGAATGGGTCTACAGAGTTCCACAAAGTTCCTCAAAGAAAAAGGCCGAGCCTGCATCTGGGCGAGAATAAGCCCATTTAACAGTCCAGGCCAGCTGCTGAATGACCTGAAAGCAGCTTCTGAAGAATAAGTTGAACAAAAAGCTCAAGAGGAGTCAATGGTACAACACTGCAGCACAGGCTACCCTCACACTGCACTTGGTTAGCAAGAACATGGACAGCACGTGTAATGATTTTTCCCCTCTATTTGCCACTTGTGAGATCACACCTGGAGCACAACATCCACATGGTGAGGGCTGGAGCACACAACACGCAAGAAAAGGCTGAGAGAGAGAGATGGGTTTGGTCAACCCTAAAAAGAGAAGATGAAGGGGGAACACCCTACTGCTGTCTTCTGGAGAGTATAGAGAAAACACAGGCAGGCTGTTGGAGACGTGCGTGACAATAGGACAAGCAGTGACAAGTTCACATTGGACCAGGGAAATTCTGAGTACATCCACAGGAAAAAAAAAAAAAAAAGTTCATTAAAAGGGCTGTCAAACACTGGTACCCATACCTATGGTACCCACAGAAGTGGAATCCCAATCCCACGAGATACTCAAAACCCAACTGGACATGGCCCTGGGCATTGCAATGTGGTTGTACCGTCACTGAACATGTGTGGTGAACTGTACAATATTCCTGTCTAAATTAAACCACAGTCAACTGTCAGTATACTGAAGAAGTCTGAAAAATTTAGTGTGCCTGTTTTAGATAGCCTGCTTGCAGAAGTTCAACCTGCTACAGAGTTATAAAGATCTATTCACATTACCTGTCGCCTCCATTTCTCAGCTTTAGGCAATTCATTACACTCTGATGCAAGGAAAGGTCTTCGCTCCTGTTGGACAAAAAAAAAAAAAAACACACAATCTAGCATCAATATGGTCACAGCATTTCACACAAACTTTGTTGCTTGACTAATCCTAAACTACGCTACCAGCCTCCAGTACCTTCTACTCCCACCAACTTTTAATGAGTGGATAAAAAATGACTACTTACAGACCCGCCAAATTAAACTACCACAGAATACTGTAAACTACAGAATCCCACTTTATTCAAAAAGAACACTCTGATCCCTACATAAATATTCTTGCAATGTGAGTTATGATTCAGTGAAAAACATACCGAAACATCCAGAGTTGAAAATCTTTCACTAAGGTTCTACGTGGGTTTAGGGCTGCTACTTCTTGCATTACAATATGCTTATATTTTTAATGTCTAAAATGGGCTTACCACCTTTGTAAATCTGATGCCAATTCCAGCCCCCAGCCCCCCCACCCCCACAAAAGCCCCATAAGAGCCAAGAGAATTATGATCAGATGCAGACAATGTGTTGGTTTAATAACATGCCACTGCTGTCATGTGTAAGCCTTGAGTTCAGAAGGATCCTGAAGACCCTCTGTTCCACAGTTATTACTTTGTTAGAACACTACATTAAGCAATTATTATTTACCAGTATTTTAAGGAGTTATTTAGAAAATTCTATTTACCATTTCTCTTTTGTGTCATTGTGAAATGCAGTCCCTACTTTAACTGCTTTCCAGATGACTAATGCCAAGCTCCCATACGATTCCTGAATGCAGTGCATGGTCTTTCTGAAAACCGTTACACAGGTCTGTACATGGCTTGCATTCCACCCTTCATCAGAGCTAACAAAGCTTTAGTTTTTTACATCATACCTTAACTTTTCCTTCCTCAAGCTGAGCTTGACGAAACCTCGCCAAGGCCGTCCTGAAAAAAAAAAAGGAAACAAATTTACTTCTATACATCTACACACCAACAGTAATAAGTTCTGTTTATTTTTTTTATATATATATATTACAGACTTAATGAACGTTAAGAAAAGTTAATGTTTTTTCCATTCTATAGAAAACAAAACACATTCATTGACCAGCTCTTCTGACTACCAACTCCTCAGCGGTTAATTTCTTAGACAAACCCTGGCAAGCAGCTAATTAATTTTTCTATTTAACATATTCCAATGTGTTAGATATTAACAGCAAAAGGATGACAACAAATTATAAACACAAGCTTAAAGTGTACTTATCTTAGCATCAAAAAGCAAAAAAAAAAGACTTAATTGAGGGCAGCAGCTTGCAATCAACCTTACTAAAATGTCTAAAATATTCCAAGTCTCTTACAACTAAGCTGAGTCTATACAGACCCCATTTTTTTAATACATGGTTTTATTTATTTACGAGACATTTGATAGTTATGTTAAAAAGCACAAAACAACCGAGAAAGCGCTTAACACCTTCTCTTTAGCTACATATCTGTACTCTGCATCTAAGACAATTATCAAGGGCTCCATCTGCTGTTAAGGAGCAGAGAGGCATTTCCAGAATGAAATGCTGCACCATCCAATTCAGCAGGCACTGGCTTGTATCACTGTATGAAAGCACCTCAGCAGGTACTACACAGCTGTAGTCCATTCAGTCTCTCTTTGAATTCCTATTAAAACTCAACAAATATTTTAGTAAAATGAATGCAAAGCAAATACATTAATGAGCTTCTAATTCAGTAGTTTTAAATGCACGGTCTGAAAACCTTCTTGAGAAGGTACTTTGGAAAGACAATAGGAGAATTAAGATTTAAAGACTGATTTTGCTCAAGGCTCTCCCATGCAAAAATGATACCTAACGCCACGCTGCCAGACACCTGTCAGCTCTGTGCCAAACATGGAAACTGCCCCAAACCAGTGAACTGTCAGCACAAACTCCACGTTCATTATCCAGCCCCTGCTGCAGCTTCTGCACTGGACCCCCTTTGGGTTTCAGAGCGTCTCCCTTGGTCCTATCACCACACCCCCGGCACCCAGCCCCTGCCCAGCCCCGCAGCCCCCTTCAGGCCGTCCCCTCAGCGAGCGGCCCGCCCCGGGCGCCGAGGGAGCTGCGGCCCGGCCGGCCGGCGCGCTGCACTCACATGGCCTTCTCCGCGTTGCGAGCCTGAAAGAGAGAAAAAAAAGAGAAAAGAGGTGAGTGAGGGGCGGCGGCGCCCCGGGGAGCGGGGAGGGGAAGGGGCCGGGGCCCCGCGCTCACCATGGCGCCGCTGCCGCCCTCCCGCCTCCCGCTCCCCGCTCCGCTCCGCTCCGGAAGCAGCCGCTGCCCGCCCGGAAGCGGAAGCCTCAGCGGGCCGGGCGGGGCCGCGCGGCCCCGGGCTCTGCCGCGCTGCGCCTGCGCGCCACGGGCTGCGCCCCCCCCCCCCCCCTGCCCGCCCCACCCAGTGTGAGGCGCTGAGGGAGCGCGGCGCTGCAGGCCCAGGGCCTGCCGGCGTCACATTGCGCGTTTAAAAACAGCGCGATTGCCGTGTTGCTTTGCTCCACCTCAAAACTGGGAGTACGTTAAGGCTTAGTTAAATCGAGATTTAAGCAGCTGAGTGCTAAAGAAGCCGCAGCTGCAAGACACAAGTGACCGAATTGCACGGGAAGCACTGGCAGCCCTCACACACACAGACACACCTGTGTTTATGTACATACACATACAAAGCTACAGGCTAAGTCCCAAAGGCTTTCAGGCCTTTGTAATAATAAAACCCCAAAGTTCAGTGGCTGTAGGTGTGTGATGCAGTCACCGAACAAGCACTGTGCGCAGCTCAGGCGACCCCAAGGCAGCCTGCCTGCTCCAACCAGGGAATTTGTAAGGGTTTGGGCAGGCTGAGGCTCAAAGTGCACTCGTGTTCTTTATAGCAGCAATTAGAAGTAAAATGAAAACAGTCAGGCCAGAACACCTTCCCCACGCCTCAGTTTCACAAGAGGACAGGCTTTGCTCAGCACACAGCAGGGCTGAGGGCAGCCCGCCAAGGCATGAGCAGCCTGCAGCAGCTCTCACCACGTCATCTGGGCTTTGCACTCTCCAGAACTGCCCTCTGCATTTGTCAGAAGCAAGTACTTGGATTTTGTACTGCTTCAAGTAGCAAGAGGATTCATTTTACATGCTTCCAAGTAGCTTTCACCAGCTTCCTTCCATCCCTCTCAGCAGCATTATCAGCACAGCCTAAAATCCCACTCAGGTTGTCAGTCAAGTGATCCGGGCTGTTTACATAGTGCTTAGTACTTTTATTAAAAGTGTTTTCTCCCTGCAATGCAGCTCAGACTTCTACAGGCGTTCAAATTTTCAGCCTGAGTTTGCTACTCAGGTGGGAGGTCCTGCGCTTTGGCCACAACAACCCCATGCAGCACCTACAGGCTCAGGGCAGTGGTTTTAAATCTGTGCAGAGGAAAAGGACCTGGGGTTGCTGATTGATGCTCACCTGAACATGAGCCAGCAGCATGCCCAGCTGGCCAAGGCCAAAGGCATCCTGGCTTGTGTCAGGAGTAGTGCAGCCAGCAGAACAGGGAGGTGATTGTCCCCCTGTGCTCTGCCCTGGTGAGGCCTGCTCATAGGTGGAGTGTTGTTTTCAGTTTTGGGCCCCTCACTACAAGGGCATCAAGGCCCACACTGCTGAAGGCTGAAATACTGCTAGCACATTAATAAACTACTCCAGGTTGTATTTGAAATGTGCTGTACATCCAACAAGTTATGTGCCTTTGACAACTTCAAAGTGGAAGAAGTGCTTTATCAGCATCAGCTAAGATATGTAGCAAGCCCCCCATGAGAACAAACCATTCACATACACCAGGGGCAGATCAGCAATAGTCTTGAAGGCCTACATACTCAGTGTATGGACAGTCTGATGCTAGAGGATGGAAACTTAACATAAGATAGAACAAAAGAGAAGTCCAAACTGAACTTTTTACACCTCCACATACCCCTTTTTAATATGTTATTTTGCACTGTGTACATGAAAACCAAAAATAAACAAAAGGAACTTTAGCCAAACTCCCCTTCCTCCTCCAGCTTTATTGATAGTTTAAAATTACATTTTCTATGTTCTAGGACTTCAATTGCTTTTACCATCTTACTTTAAAAACTGATTACAAGCAAATGAAACTCAGTTGTCTAAGTGATATAGTATACAAAAATAACATCTTGATTTCTGTGAAAATGCATTTATTTGCAACTCCTGAATAGCTCCAAATTGTATATGCTATGAGCACTGATGTCTGGGTTTCAGATTTACTTTGAAGTATTTATTCAAAAGCTTCCCATTACGTTCTGTATCTCCAACATGAACATTCATTGACTGAATTACTGTTATTTTAAGTTTATTCCTGATTTCTCTCTCTCTCTCATGGCCATTAACAGGCATGTGCATCTTGTTTATTTACTCCCACTCAGCTATATGCTCTAGGTAGGGCCTGATACAGATATTACTTGGTGTTAACAGCTACTGAGGTCAGACAATCCAAGGCCATTGTAATAAAATTAAAGTTATGAGGAAGTTTAAGACACTTCCAGAATTTCTTTCTTCCTGCATAGAATCGCTTCCATGTAACCCAGAGAGGGTTTGCTGGTCTGACTCAACTCTTCCCACTCATCAATCCCTATTCACCAGTGGCACGGAAAGGGGGTTCTTTAACAAAGCATTATACATAACACCTCTACCAAACTAAACATAAACATTTTTGTAGTTAAATGCAGAAAGTTGATTTTTCCACCCCTTTCCTCCTTTTACACGGCAAGTAAAGCTCACTGGCCTGGGAGTAGCCTCTATCTGCCAACCTTTGGCCAGTGAAGAGGATTCAGAGAAAAATAATACAACCATCAATCAGAAAAAGGAGGGGCGACAAAGGAAAATAATTAGGCTGTAGCTTCAATTGTGCATTCCCGTGCAAGGTGCCCTGACTCGCCGCAGCGATAGCAGTTGACTTCACTGGTCTTGCTGCAGTTGATGGCTACATGGCCAGTTTCACCACACCTGCAGACAAAAAAAGAAAGAATCAAAAGATGAAGATTTGATTCCAAACCACCCAGAGAAGTTACTGTTCTGCCAACTGTGCTGGCTACTTTGATTTCATGCAAGACTTGTTCTGTACTCAATTCTTCTGCTTCAGCGTTCTCATGTTCTTCCACGAGGCATGAACCAGGAACTGATCAACTTACACTGATCACTGTGTATGCCAAAACCACAGTGCAAACACAGATTTTTACTTATTTTTAATTGCCAGACTTTCCCCATTCTAATGCTTCTCCTGTTTAGCCTTGTTTGAAGCTAACTGGCTGTAACTCAGATACACTGTGTTTTCCCTTCCTCCACACAAGGGAGTCTTGGAGGGGGTGAAAGATACTGCACTCATGAGCACGCTGTAGCAGGTACAGGCACAAGCAACAGTTTGAAGCCAGCTTTTCAGACAGATTTAACAGCTGCTTCTCAACTTTTGAGTATTAGTAGATGCTCTTACCTATAGCATTTCACTTTGGTGCAGTCTTTTTGAATGTGTCCAAACTCTCCGCAAGAATAGCACTTCTGCTCATCTGCATGGTCACAGTCGCGAGCGAGATGGCCAGGTTTGCCACAGTTGTAGCAGCACTGCTCTCTCTCCCTCTTCGGCTCCTTGCAGTCCTTCGCAATGTGGCCACCTCTACCGCAGTTATAGCAGGCTTCCACAATAAGAAAAACATACCAAACAAGACTATAAAACCTTGGTAGACTGAGGTGTAGCATGCTTCTAATGAAGGACATTTACTCTGCTTCCAGTGAATTATGCAATCAGTGAACAATAGCCTTCTCTTCAACCACAGACCTCTGTCCATGTAATTGAAGAGATAGAATATTTATTGATACTTACCATCCTCCTGAAGATCACAGTCCTTGGCAAGATGGCCAGACTCACCACAGCGGTAACAGATGTCCGGCAGAGATGAAGACATGAACTGGAAGCCTGCTTGAAATGGGTAACAGGAGAAAAAAAGGCTTAAGAATATTCTTAACGTAATCCCTAAGAGTTAATCAAGGACACTGGCAGCTGAACTAACACATCAGGTTTAGTCTCAGGAGCCCTTGCATAATTCTTATGCAGACTTAAGAACCAGGAAAGTTTATCACCAATTTACGTCTCAGCTTTTGCTCACCTGAAGTCAGTTTGACATAGCACTGACAACAGACAGCTGGAGACATCTTACTGTACATATAAGCAGAAAACCATGGCAATCACTTACCTCTGCCACGGCTTCTCATCCCACGGCCACGGCCAATCCCAGTTGGGCACTCCCGAGCCCAGTGGCCAGTACGCCCACACTTGAAGCACTCGTTGCTGCTCATGGCTGCAGATCACCTGCCTGAGGGGGGAAAAAAAATAAAATACATTTTTAGAACACTTTCCCTCTCCAAGCTAAGGGCTCAGGTAAGAGACATACCCATGATCGTAACAGCCTTACTGTCACAATCTCCTCCAGTAATACCTTCTTCTCATCACTCAGTTAAACTTGAAAGCCAGCTACTTATCTCCATTTCTTCCTAGTCATTTCTTTCTGTTGGGAGTACCTGGCTGGCATCTACTTTTCTTCACTAAGCTGCATTTCTTCACTAACCAAACCACATTCTAAAAGCTCCTTTTAAAAGCTAAAGAGTAGGCAATATTACAGCTAAGGCCCTGAAGAGTGAGTTAGCTTAGTATCCGTTAGTTCTTTTATGACATAAAGAGCAGTTATCTGACCTAAAGAATAGTCATTTCTCAGAGTTCACTTCAATATATTAACTTACATTTCAGGATACATATTTCACTCCTCAGTTTACATGGAAGAAAATGCTCAAGACATTTGGCTTCCCTAAAAGACATCAGACACTTGCCAGATATCTAGAAGGCTAACTTGGAAAACATTCTTAGAATGCTAGGGAAACATCGGATAGGCATGCCTGTCCATGACAGTACAAACCACTTTTGCCCATATTGGGGAATGGAGGAAGGCGTCTCATTGATCGGGGAAGCCGGTCTGCCACAGACCACTGAAGCAGTGGCAAGGATGGGATAGGTTAAAGAGACTGCAGACACAGTACCTTAGCTTGCCTAAGGTATAAAGCAATTAGCCATGGCTTCTGGAACTATAAACAGCAGAGCAAGTTAAATATTTAAATTGGATATTGTTTAAAGTCCGCCTGAAGACAAGTTTAAAATGCCCTCGTTTATAAATACGCATATTAAGCTGAATACTTCGTATGCTCTCTCCCAATTCATTACACTTAACTCAATGGAAGCAGAATCATTAGCCCTATGTTTTGTTAGGGTACCTGATCCCCGAGCTGTTCTTCCTATAACCCTACAACTTCATGGTATAGAATGCTTAAAAAAAACCCACAACTTTTAAAAGTTGCATACCAAAATAGTAAAGACTATTTTGTATGTTCCCATAGGGACACTTTCAAATAAAAATATGAAACAATGGTAACAACCAGAACTGCTAGCCTATTCAAACAGAACATCTGTCAAACATCTCAAATTACCAAGAATACAGATGAGTAGCATCTTGAAGGGAGTCACAAAAGAAGCAGTAATAACACCACAACCTCAAGATGAACCAGAGTTAGCATCCTGACATTAAGAACTTAAATGGATATAGTATAAGCTTTAAAAAAGCCTTGTCACTTTTCGCTCAGAAGAGTTCCTTTCTCTCCAGCTGCCTTCTGCATAGTGACCATCCATCCTTCCCACCACAATAGAAGCAGGAAAGTTTAAAGTACATGAGATGTGAAGCTTAATAGGCTACTTCTGTAATCCCACATCTACATTCCAACTGGATCAGATAATATTTGCTCTTAAAATGAAATTCTGCAATGAAAGGATGCAAACAGATCTTCAACAGACGTCAAGAACAAAACAACTTTCTATGAGCTCTTGATTTTATACATAACTCAGCCTTTTCACATGCTAGCAGGTATTTACTGCTTCATCTGTGCTCAAAGTCTCTAACTTATTAGGACACCCAAGGGTGAAGAGCTGCCTACTACGGCAGCAGCAGCTGGCATCCGTGTGCTCTTGTTTCGGCCTGTTTTCATAGCAACCATGTTGACACAGCAGAAGAAAAACACTGGCAAAGCTGACTGCAGGAGCTGGTCTTGACACAATAGTTGATGCTGCTTTAAGTTTCCATGAGACAAGATGGGGTCTCCAATTTATGTGTTGGGACATAGTCCCCACTCAACCTGCAACTCTTACAGGTCAGCACGTTAAGGTGTTATTGAAGAGGCCCTGCACTGCTGTCCCAAAAGAGTGGAACAGTACAGCACCAGTTCCAGCTGCACTGAATACGTCTCTACAGATGTAAGTAACAACTCCAGCGTCACTCGAACCACGCACTAGGTATTACAGCATGATGTGACAGGATTAAGTATAACCAGCAGTTACCTGTGTGCCTAACGTAACCACCCAGGTTAACCTATGGTAAAAGACAAATGGTTTATAGGTGAACTAAACCTCCTCTAGATATGCACTGGAGAAGCTTTTATGCCTAGATGTACCAGCCAGCTACATCTGTCTGCCAGTCACTACCTGCACAAGGGACAAAGAGCACAACACTCACTGCCCCAGAGGAATTTAAAAACAAGTTTTACATCTGATCCAAAACTATTTAAAGCCACTCCTTCAAGAAACAAAAAGCTCAAGTTTCTCTTCCCCTAGTATTTCTCAAATTGGCCAAGTAGGATTATGCAAACTGAGTAAGAAATCCAGAGGACAATAAGCAACAGTTTCTGCACAACTTGAACAGAAGATTCACTTTGCAACCTTTATCTTCAGAGGCCCGCTTTTTCCCTGCACACAGACCTTTGAAGGCTACAGCTGTCATAAGCACAGGGTCACAAAGCACAGCACTCCATCTCCAGGTATTTTAGGCATACAGAAGTACCAAACAATTTCTCTGGACTTCTATTCACCAGTATTTTTATGTCTAGTATCTGCGTTCTTTGTGTAGAAGATCTAAAACTGAACGCAAGTTCACCAGCTGGAGGTGGAGTCAGCTGACACTAGTTTTATTTACCCTCCCATTCTAAGAAGGCTTATACAGGACAAAGTTCCTCAACAATGTAAACTGTTTTTTAAAAAAAAAGTAAGAGTTTAGTTTTCAGATTAAGCCAACACTTTTGATGAACAATATCCAGAAGAGGTTGGTTCCGTACAGCGAGTCCTTAAATGGACACCTTCCAAGCAGTTTGGACACCACTTTTCAGTTACTCACATGAAAAAAAAAGTCTAGTTTTAAATCCACTGAAGTTCAAGTTAGTCACTACTTCTACACTGGCATTACAGACAAGTTCTCAACAGTCCCTCTTATCTATCAAGGCCACCTTAAATAGGCCTTCTGCGATAAGGCTGCTTGTTGAGGTTGTTTTCTCTCAGTCACATGTATCAATGATTTCCATAGCTCAAATGCATTACACAAACTAACTCCTCCCCTGCTGACATTCCAGAATTATTCTGCAAGACAGACCAGATGAGGCCGTGGCTCAGCATAAGATTCCAAAACTCTGAGAGAAACACAAATCTAGCTGCCTCAAATCACACCTTTCTGTGAAGGAGCGAAGGCAGACATTCACCAGAACTCCTTGTACAGGCCTCCTTAACCGGAATTTGAAGCTGAAATAAATCACTTTACAACTATTTACTAAATCATGTCTTCACACACATTCAGAAATACCCCAGTCTGTTTTAGTAGCCGATCCAGACCAGGCGATGGAAAGAACTACCACTAATCTCCACTGCAATGCTGTTTTATTGCTTTTGCTTTAGGTGCCATCTAAAAAAAGAAGCCTGCTCTAACAGACAAAAGCAGAACTAACTTGGGCTCCTCACAGGAGGAACCTAAGCTATCCCCCAGAGTTTTAAAGAGAGGACAAATGAGTTCTTGGCAATTCACCAGCGCACAACACTCACTCCAGCTATCTGAAAGAAATCTGACTGCAACCTACAGAAGCAGGTAACATGTCAAAGCTAGAATTTACTCTGAGCAACCCTGATCAATGCAACAGGTAGCAGAAGTTTCATCACAGGCAGCAGTTAAGTGTTTTTGCCAGAACCTGTGCTGCTCCCCGCTATGACAATGGAGTTCTCATATATGGGAAACTGCTAGGTAGAAAGGATCAGAACCATGAAACTGATGTCTCCCACTCTAAACACATTCTCTTTTGTCTCATTTAGGGAACCATCACTAATTTTATTTTAGATACATTTACTAAAAAACCTGTCATCTTTACTTTACATGCACTTAAGGTCACATTTTACAACCAGGAAGTCATGGACACCCAAGATCACAATACCAAGCAGGAGTTACTATCTCCTGGAGACAAGTGAATGAGTGGTCCTGTCTGTACAAGCAGTGGATTATGTAGGGGACAGACTAAACCAGAGAGAAGAGAACAACTTTGGGAGCAACAGAAAATAGTTGCAAGGACATTACTCAGACACCTCTAGATACAAGCAGTTCTTTAGAATTCAACAGCTTGCGAACAGTTCAAGTCCAATGGAACAGTGGCAATTATATTTATTATACTTACCAAATGCTTCCTTTGGTCTACAACTATCACATCCAGTTGGTATTAATAGAACTTCACTCCTTGAAAGGAGGGACTAAAGAGAACCCACTGCTAAAACCAGCAGCTTATTTATGAGCTCTTTGGCAAATCAGCTGCATCAAGGAGGCAAACACTGAGAAGTCAGCCATTTCTATCCAGGCTGCTGGTGACCAACAAACAATACCAAGCTTGAATGTGACAAGTCAGCCCACAGCCAGGCTGAAGACAGCAAAAAACACACCAAGAGCAGGCAGAGCTCTGCTTTTCCAAGAGATTAAGAAATAGAAAGGAGTACTGTCAGAAGTGTCAGCATTTTGTTTCAAAGGAGCAATCAAAATATTACTCATTTAAAAATAAATGCTACCCATAAAGAAGTTTATTTCCCAACAAGAATGTTTGGGAAGTCCAGAACTCAAGACACGTGACCATGACTGCGTACACAGAATTAGTGATGCTTCAGCCTCCAGCTTTTCTTCTCACAAGGAAAACATACATAATTAAGTATTTTGACCACCAGGTAAAAATACTTCAATTCCAGAAGAAAGCAGTTTGAGAAAGAAAACCTCCAGCAATTGAGAGCTGAGCTATCAAATCCGGATCTCCTCAATATATTCCACAGGCAAACTTGACTGCCTGATTTGAGAATTCTGGATATAACTAAAATTCAAGAACTTGGACCCCTACTGTGAGGTCAGAAGCCAGGTCAGAAAGACATTAAGATTGAGGTATCCGAATCAACTTGTAGTTCTTGGATAGCTTTGTTGACTACAAATTGAAGACAGAGCTACAGAAACACTTCTTTTGATTAACTTTTGTTCTTTCTGCCTACCCATACTCGCTAGCATGCAGGCTGTGACAATCTACAGGCTATTTACCAAATCGGCACATTCCATTCTTCCCCTGTACATTCTTACTGCTATCTGGGCTGTTTTAAAGTTTTGAACTTCAGAATGCAGTATCAGCAACGTGCAAACTTCATGTAAAAGCTAGTCCAGACGTTAACTAAGTCATTTAAGGAAAAAGTAGATCAGCCCAGTAACTGGCAAGGTTCTCCTCCAACTCTAGAGAACTCGTTTAACTCTTTCCACTTCGGATGGGCACAGGATTGCTTCTCTAGGCCAGTCTGCGCTGAGGAAGAAAACACGGAGCAGGCAACCCTAAGGCTTCAGCCACGGGCTCTAATTAAGCGCTGCAACAGAAATAAAACGCGCTCTTAAAGTTAATAATTCCTCGTGACGGACTCTGCATGCTGAATGAGTAACAGCGGTTACTCGAGAACTACGCCTGACGAGCACTCAAATCGAACGCAGCTCCACTACTCCGCGCCGCGGAGCTGCCGCGGGCTCTTTTTCCTATCCATTATAGGCCCCGCTCGGGCTCGGGGCCGTGCCGGGGGGAGGCCAGCAGCCGCCGCCGCTCCTCGCCCCGAGCCGCCGCCGGGGCCCAGCACGTGGGCGGCCACGTGGTGCGCCCGGGCCCAGGCCCCGCCGACACCGCGCCGCCGGGGGCCCGCTGCCCCGGCCGGGCTCAGCTCGGGAGGGCGAGAAAAAAATAAGGAGAAAAGTTGAGAAAAGAGAGAAAAACAGAGAGAGCTTTGAGTGCGGCCGCTTCCCAGCACCCCCCACCCCCCCAAGTCTCCCAGCACCATTCTCTCCCCCCCCTCCCCCCCCCCCCCAGGGTGAGGTCGCCCCGCGGCCCGTTCCTCCCGCTCCCGCTCCGTTCCCTCCGGTCCCCGCCCTCCCCCCCGTTCCCTCCTTTCCTCCCCCGGCCCTCCCAGCGCCCCCCCGGTCCCCGTTCTCCCTGCGGCCCGGCCGGGGCACACGGCTGCCGTAGGACCTCGGCCCAGAGCTGCGGCCCAGGCCGCCCCGCGCCCCAGCCCTTGGCCCGGCCCCGCTCCCCGAGCGGCACCGACCCGCACAGACCCTACCGGCCCCCACAGACCCCCCCCTTCCCCTTTTCCCTTCCCCCCCCCGCCCCGCCGCCCAGGCCCGGCCCGGCCCCGCTTTCCCGCGCTAGGCCCGAGTGCGCCAGCGCCGCCATCCCCTCGCCCTCCGCCGCCATCCCCCGCTCCCGGGGCCTCCCCCCCCGGCCCGGCCGTTACCCGCGGGCTGCGGGCGCGCTGCGGCGGCGCGGCTGGCGGCGGACGGAGAGCGCCGAGGGAAGGCGCCGAGGAGAGGCCGCGCTGCTCTGCCCGCCCGCTCCGCTCCCTTCTGGCTGCGCCACACGCGGCTTGCACACGGCCCCGCGCGCTCCCCCCGCCCCTCCCTACTACTCTGCGCACGGCCCGGCGGAGCCCCCCTCTCCGCCAATGGGCGCGGCCCGCTTCCCGCCCCAGCGGCCAATCGGCGTCGCGAGCGCGGGCGCCCAATCGGCGCGGGCGGAAGGGGGGAGGGGCCCGCCCCCGTGACGCGCTCCGTGGGGGGGGGGGGAGGGGGGCAGGCGGCCCTGGCGGGGCGCTGCGGCACAGCGGGGCCCGCCCCGCCTCGCACCGCACGGCCCCGCGCCCCTCAGCGCCCCGCGGCCGCGGAGCTGCCCCCCACCCCGCCGCCTCCTCCTCAGCCCCGTTCTTCCCGGCCCCTTGGGGCCTCCCCGCGCCCCCCGGCGGCCTCCCCGCCGCTCCCCGTCCCTGCCCGGGCAGCCCCGAGCGCCGGGCGCGAGGCGGGAGGCGCCGCCCGGCAGCGGCGGCCATCTTGGCGGGGCTGCGGGGCTGGCGGCAGCGCGAGGAAATGGAGGACGCGGTGCCCGGACACGGCGGGCTCGGGGGGGGCGGCCTGGACAGGGCGGCCTCCAGCCCCGTCAGTTACCAGCCGCTCGTGTTTTCTAACGCATCAACAACAACAAAAGTTTTTTTTGTTTGTTTGTTTGTTTGTTTCTTTTGTATGAATCATCGAATCATAAACTATTTAAAAACTCTCACAAAAATCTCATACGTGATACTACTATTCAGTATTCACCTAAGATTCTTTTTACACAAATGCTCTCCCTTTGCCCTACGAACTAGGAACTAAATATACCAGAACCACTTGTGAACGTTCTGGGGAGTGTAACATGGGCAGTATCATAATTAAGCCATCTATTTGTTCATCATAAATTCGTTGAAAATTCCCCAGCTGTAAGCTTCTGCTGAAATGTCCTCCCCACCTACGGGTCCGCTGCAGGATCTCCCACCACGCGTTAGAGCTTAAAGTGTGGGTGTGGGGCTGAACGTGGCGACAAAACTTTGGACTGACCTTTCCTCAAGCTACCTATCTTTGTATCACCGTGGTTAGGATTGTTTTATTAGAATATGAGTAGTAACGTATGTGTTCCCTTCCATGCAGTTACGTGTGGTTTGCTTCAGACAACCTTTTCCATCACTAGGTTGTGTTTGTGTTTCCTGTGCTGTATTTTTACATCACAGCATCAGCATTCTGGTCTGATAAGGGAGTGAGCCTTTCAGGCCTACTTCTGTTTCAGAATTTCTGTACATTACACTACTAGTTTTACTGTAACTTTTGCCAACTCTCATTGTGGCATTTGTTTTACAACACTGTAAAAACTTCTGCACTATCAGCAAGCTTTGAAATCACAATAATGTTTCTTTCCACTAAAGAGTTTTAAAAATCTTTACCATCATATTTAAGTTTAATTTTCATGGCCTTTGGTTTCCTCACAAATAGATGTTACTTTTAAGTCCTACAGGTGATAAATGGAAGAAAAAATATGTTTGTTATTAAGGAAGTGCTTACAGTTTCTGAAACAAGGGTGTGCCTACACCGCGTTAAAAAAAATACATTGCACAAAGAGAAGAAATAAAGAAGGAAAATCATACATCCTCAAATCTTTATTGACTTTTTTTTTTTTTCTTCTTAGAACCTGGCTTCTGTATGAGTCTTTATGACTCAGGAATTTTAGACTGACAAAACAATTGTAGTAACTTTGCTAACTTTTTCCTGTGTTTTGCTGGTTTTACTTCTGGTGCTGTCCATGAGGCTAGGAAATCCCAAACTTAATCTTAGCAGTAATCCATTGGCTTACTGCCATACAAAGTTTTGTGACTGATACAGTGGGTAAATTCCCCTGAAGAAATCAAAACTGTTTTATTTATTTCAAATCATATAATGGACTCTCCCTAAGCTGAAATGGGAACAGGGTGCAACTATGAGTGAAAATGCATTACTCACAAAGAGTTATTGCTGGTGACAAATCACTTGATCATCCTCTGTAAGTCTACTTGCCTCAAATACAGTTCCAATTTTCTTATGATAAAGGATATTTTAAGCTATTTTTTGTTATAGTGGATGAAATCTTCCACCAGCAGATAATAAGTCTCTTTTAACAGCATTTGTTTTTGTACTTACCTCAAGAATTAATTTGGCTCATTATATCTTATGAAGCTTGCAATTCTTGTTTGCAGGTTTCTCTGATATTAGGCAAAGGATAGTCTTGCAGTTAAAGAACAAAAGTGAGAGGCTTGACAAGCTGTTTCTGGCTCAGGGCAGTATTTCCTATAGAAACAAGGTATTCATAAAGCAAGGTAGAAGTACAAAGTCTTTACTTTTCTTATGTGCAAGAAAAGTTCATCTAAGTTCCAGACTTCTCCATTGTATTAGTTTCTGTCCAAAAAATTCCAATCTTCACAACAACTTTTGAGTAACAATATTCAAAGGAGCTCAAGTACAGTAATTGTTGAAGGTAAATCCACCATTTCAGCAATGTATTCCTAATGCGGGCAGTTCTTAGAAGTGTTGGATGAAGAAACCATCATTTTAAGACCAAATAAAACAACAAATAACATCTTGCAAGCGATGTTCGTGCATTGTTTTCTTCCAAGTAGTTGGGTATGTTGGCAGAAAACTGTTTTAAATTGCCAAGCAACTGCCATTGCTTCTCAACCATGTATTTTTATTTTTAAAGGAAATCTTGTTTCATTTTGCATGTGGAATTTTTCAAAACCAAAGATACCCAAAATAATCACTGGATTATAAGTATTCAAAAGAGAAACAGCTCCTGGAGTACAGCTTAGCTGAAAACAACTTGTCCTCAACAGATTCAGAACAAGTGGTAGCTGCTGCCTGTTTCTT